TGACGCAGTTAAAAGAAACACCATAAACCTAACAAGATTATTTTAGATTTCATTTATTTTACATTTGTTTTTATTTTAGTAAGGAACTGACCATATGAAACAGTTCTTGTGATTTTCACAAGACTCAGTATTAGACTAGAGATCAGTCCTTCATAAATTTAAAGAAAAAAGAAAAAAATTAAGGGACAGGGACTAGAAGGCAGTGGTAGGACATCGTGAGGAAGGAAAAGAGGAAAGGCAGTTTTCTTTTCTAAACACCCTGTTCCCACCATCCAGTAATAAAGGATGGTACATATTTTCTATTAAAAATTCTAGAGCAAAAAATACTGAAACCTACAAGGCTAAAGTTAATCTCACTTGGCGCATCTGCGCATGCAGGTACATATGCTTGCAGCAGCTCAAACAGGACCAGCACAAATTTGAGCTGGGGATTTTTGCCTCATCGCATGTGCCCAGACGTGCATTTTGGTGTGTGGCAAGTTGTGTCACTTGGGGCAAAATAACCCTGCCCAATTCCTCCCAGATCTACAGGCATGGGAAGCTAAATGGCTTTGAGACATGGCAAGAGGTACGTGCAGGCTCATCTGGACATGCCCACTCTGGCTATGGTAAGAAAGCATAGGAAGCTGTGACATTAACCCAATCCTTCAGCATGATAAGAGAGACTTTCCTGTTTCTAATAGCCAAGAAAGCTGAAAGAACCATATTCCCTATTTCTCCAAGTATGAGGAATACTTGCAGCTTCCAACACAGCCTGATTCCTAGCAGAGTACATTTGTAGCTTGATAGGAAGTGTAAGGCTTGTACTTCCCTCCCACTCTAACACCTAGCTTCATAGTGCCTGGTAGATCTGAAAACTAAAAATGTACCTTAGAGAGTATTTACTAGTAACCATGTACAAACTGGGAAGAACACATCTGGCTTTTAGATTTCAGGCATAGTTTTCTACTCCAGACTAGGAGTTAAGACAGTCATCTTTCGTATACAAAATGAGGAAAAAAATAACTCTAATATGAAGTCCAGGAATGCTAACACACACATTAATTTTCAGAGTAGACTCATTGTAAGGTTCAAGAACCAGAAGCTCCAACCATGGGCTGCAGTGCCCCTTGTGGTAGTCCCCGAATAAGCGGGCTACCAGCTCCACCTAATTCAAAGGTCAACTAAGATGCTTATAAAAGGGAGTGGAAAGAAAGTACTTAGAAGCCTTTGGGATATGAAAGATCTACTGCCTTTTTCCTCCTCTTCGTCTCTCCCTTCACAGTCAGGGGTAAATATGGCCAAAAACAGGTTCAGCATGGAAAACACCTCCAACCTCTCATATGTATGCAGAATATTTGAAGTTAAGGAATGAAAAAATTACATTTTGTTGGTATGACCCCATAACTGAATCATATAGAAAGTACACTGCACTGCAAAAGCATCTAAATTAATTTGAAGGGAAGTGGAAAAGGGAAGACCCCACAGTCATCTTTAAACTAGAGGGTCATTATGTCAGTAAAGTCATAATTTAAAAGGCAAAGTGTAAAAGAACGGTAATTTAGACCTCATACTGGTCCTGCTTTATTATTACTGCTGTAAAAGAATATAGATTGTCTTCTCCCTTAAATGTCACAGTTTAAGAAGGTAGCCACTATGCAAGACATTGTTTACTTATAACCTTATGATTTAAAATGTCTTCAGGAGCATGCTAAACACCAGTCTTGTAAGGGCTAGTCGTATAGTCTGACATACATGAGTCAGAACAAAGACGCATGCTCAAAAAAAATGAGTGATTAAACTGCAGGGAAGAACACTTGCAAAACAAAAAAAGAACAAAATGGAAAGGATAAAAGTTACTGTTAAACTTAAACAGCTAAACACTAAAAAAAAAAATCAGAAACAAATCAAAAAAGTTTTTGTCTGGCCCATTTCTTTAGTGAAATGTCAGTGTCACTGGTTTCCCCTGTACAATCAAGCTTGCAAGTCACTCACAGCAGCAGGAAAAAATAAACACAACAGGAATATGATTATGAAGTTAGATTCAGAGGCAGGTATCACTCCTGAAATACCTCTCTGGAAATTTATCCCATTTTCAACAGCTATCCCTTTTTTATACTTTAAAGAAATGTTTCGAGTAGATTAAACATTTCTACCCCAACATGTTGGCCCTGATCCTGCAAAGATCAGGGCCACATGCTTTGCTTTAATCATGTGAGTAATCTAACAAAAGAATGCAACTGAAGTATGCGCTTAAAGACGGCAAGATTGTGGCTATTGTAGTCCTCCAATAAGATCCATTTATAAAAAGCCAGACACTTCACTGTTTTGAAGTAGTTTAAAAGTATGTAAGATTTAACATAAAAATTGCGCTGCTAGCATATACATTTGGTGTTCCAGCTGGAATTTTAAAAAGTATTCACATTTATAAGTCACAATAAAATGTATTTAGAAACATGAGTAGTCACTGACCTAAACAACCACCCAATCAGCCATTGTTACAAATCTGTTGGACATCCATGTGAGAAGTATGCAATATTTAGTTCTTGCAGCAGAAGAGAGGAAGTTTGGTCTTGTGGAAAGGAAATCAAGACCTCTGTCACTAACTTTGCCATGTCCTCTTGCATAAGACACCTCACCTGCCAGTGCCTCTATTTCCCCTCATTTTTTGTCCCTCCTGTCCCTTCACATTTTGATCTGTCTGAGGAATAGGATAGCTTTTCATAAGCATTTGAACAGTCTTTATTTCATTAAGGACATTATTCTTAAGAATCGAGTCATAAAAAACAGAAAACATAATCAAGGATGACTGGAAAGGTTAAAGAGCTGTGTGTGAAAACATATCTTTGCCCTCCTTTTTTGTACAACAGCTCTGCTATCATCCTGAGCTTGGGAAGAAGAAACTCGCAACATGGAAAGTTTAAGCTGCCTCTGAAGAGATGGAGCATCTTCCCCACTTTGTATTAACATTAGACACGAACCCTCCCAAAAGTACACACAGTCTTACAGAGCTAGCAAGAAAAACAGACTATGAATAGGTAATTTTTTTTTAAGGCTATGAAAACATTATGTTATTTCTAGACAAAACAACATCAGTAAGGGGTGCCTTTTTGCACTCATTTGACAGGGAAGTGGGGAGTAATGGGGATGGGAAAAAGCTTTTAAAAATATGAAAGCCCATAAACATGCAAGAAGAATTTTACACTGAACTACTGTGCGAACATAATACACAACACTGAAACCAAACCACTTCCCAGATCCCATTAACGCACAGGATAAGAAATCCAGCCAGAACCCATCTAAATAATACTTGCCATTGCAAATCTGCATTCCCATTTTACATCTTGCCCCTCTAATGCATCTGATATATGAGGCTTCACCCTAACTTAGGCATCCATTTATACCCAAATACCAACTTTACTATTTCAGTCCCTGAAAGACTTGTCTTTCTGTAGGGCATTGTGTACCCCAAGGTAGCTGTTGCCCTACAGATAAGTTATTAGTACACCCAGAAGCTTTTTGCCTGTGTGCCTGTTTCGAGTTCTGACTGTATGTCCAAGTGTAAGCGCACAGGCAGCGGGAAATTGAACATAAGTGACACCTGTAACAACTGTCCGGGATGTCCTTTATGTCATCAGCACTGAAGAAATCCATGGTAAGCTAATGAAAAGGCAAACATAGTGAAATCCTACTACAAACAAGCACTTGTTTGGGGTTGTTTTTGGGAGGGGGGGGGGCAGGTTAGAGGGCAGGGGGGAGGTGGGGGGGGGGGGTTGTTTTTTACTGAAGCCCAGTTCGGTTGGTGGGGGGGGTTGTTTTTTACTGAAGCCCAGTTCTTTTCAAATATGACCTAACTGCATACGAACTTCTTCCAAATCAGCCAGGCTACAGAAGCCTTCATTTACAAAAAAAATCGCCTCCAAGTGCTGAAAAGCTACACATTATTACCTGCCTTTAAAGCCCCCAGGAAGACTGGCTGCTGGGGGGGGGACCCCAAGCAGGACAGCAGGCCACCTGCCTGCTTCAGGAAAACTAAAGTCACCCGCAGATTTTCTTTTTTGTTTAAGAAAAAAAAGAGGGGGGGGGGGGA